GTTTGTTGATTGTCTTAGCACTTTCTCAGTCACCAATGAAGCAAAGCAAGACCCCGTGCTTGCTCCCATGCTTTTTAGCATGATGTTTTCAATGATGTTGTCAGATGCCTTCTGTGAGGATGAAACAGCATCAAGGTCAGCTACTACACTGACAGTAAATTATTTGATTTGAAAAGGCTACAAGCCAAGACTAAAATGAAGAGAGAGTTGATGCTCGACTTTTTGTTCACAGATGATTATGCACTTAATGCAGCATCTGTGTCTGAGATGCAACAAAGTACAGATTGGTTCCCTGCTGCTTGTCTAATTTTGGCCTGACAATGAACATCAAGAAAACAGGTTCTCCACTAGCCAGCACCACATGGAATCATCAGTAACAGCAGGTGGAAAAATTTTGAATGTTGTGAATAAGTTCACTTACCTTGGCAGTATACTTTCCAGGGATACACACATAGATGATGAGGTTGAAGCACGCATTGCCAGAGCTAGCGCAGTGTTTGGGGGGCTCCAAAGGAAAGGGCAGGAGAGAAGAGGTATTAGGTTGCCTACTAAACTGAAGGTCTACAGAGCCATTCTGCTGACCTCATTGTTGTATGCCTATGAAACCTGGCCACTCTAGCAGTACCATGCCAGGAAACTGAATTGCTTCTGTGTTAGGAAGATTCTGACGATCCCCTGGCAAGATGAGGTACCAGACATTGAAGTCCTTTCTCAAGTTGGACTGCCAAGCATTCAAACTCTACTGCAGAGAATGAAACTCTGATGGGCTGGTCACATTGTTTGAATGCCAAACATACATTTGTCTAAAAGACTATTTTCTGGAGAACTATGCAAGGCAGGCGCACACACAGAGGTCAGAAGAAGTGATATGAGGATACTCTCAAGGTCTATTTGAAGAACTTTGGAATTGATTGTGTGACATGGGAGACACTGGCACAGGACCGTCTAGCATGGCATGCCCTCATCAAAGAAGGTGCTGTGCTCTGTGAGGGAAGCAGAATTGCAGTAGCTAAAAGGAAATGTGAGATGCACGAATTTAGAGATGGCTTCACTCCAAATGTTCCCATGGACTATTTGTGCCCCACTGTGATAGAGTTTTCTGAGCTCATACTGATCTAATCAGCTACAGTTGGACACAGCATACCTTGACTCCAACACAGTGATTTCATTTTGGTCGTCTTTGAGAATGAAGGACAACAACCATCTACGTGACAGTCTCTGTGCTAAGTGCTTAACAAATATGATCTTATTTTATCTTCACGTTATTATCCCCATTTTATGGGGACCTGCCCAGGGGTAGAAAGCTAGTGAGTATGTGAGGCTGGATTTGAAATCAGGTCTTCCTGACTACAGGCCTGATGCTCTGTGCACTATGGGGCCACCTAGATGCCTTCCTTTGTACACTGCACCCTGTAAATATCAGTTATTATTAACCTAACTAAAGGAGAGATAGGCTTGGAAGAAAGAGGAAAGTGGGGAGTTGGGAGGGAACAGAGATGGCAGTCTCATAAAATAGCAGAAAGAACACTGGATTTGGGGTCAAAAGACCTGATCTAGGCTGAGTTCTGTCACTTACTGGCTGTGTGAATGCTAAGCAAGTCACTTTCTAATCCTTGGCCTCAGTTTGTTTGTCTGTAAAGTGGGGGTGTGGGGGGTATTTGTATTCAATGGTCCTCCTGCTCAAAATCCTTGTTGTTCTCATTTGGTCATTCAGTCGTGGCTGATTCTTCATGATCCCATGGACCACAGCATGCCAAGCCCTTCTATCCTCCACTACCACTGGAAGTCTGTCCAAGCTCCTGTTTGTTGTTTCCAACAAGCTGCCGCCTGTTGTTATCCATCTCATTCTCAGCCATCCCCTTTTCCTTTTGCCTTCAATCTTTCCCAACATCATGGTCTTTTCCAATGAGTCCCATCTTCTCATTATGTGGCCAAAACATTTAAGCTTCGTCTTCAGTATTGGACCTTCCAGTAAATAGTTTGAATTAATTTCTTTAAGTATTAACTGATTTGATCTCCTTGCTATCCAAGAGATTCTCAAAAGTCTTCTTCAACACCATTAATTCAGGGCTCAGCTTTCCTTATAGTCCAACTCTCATAGCCATACATTGCTACTGGAAAAACCATAGCTTTGACTATATAGACCTTTGTTGGCAAGGTGATGCTGCTGCTGTCCAGATTTGAGGAGCAAGAATCTTCTAATTAGATCTCCACCATTTTTGTCTTTTATCATGTCCATTTATGCATGAAACTTTCCTTTGGTATCTCTAATTTCCTTGAAGAGAGCTATCTTTTCCATTCTATTGTTGTTTCCTCTCCCTCCCTCCATGTCTTTGCATTGCTCATTTAAGAAAACCTTATCTCTCCTTGCTGTTCTCTGGCATTCGACATTCAGTTGGCTCTATCCTTCCCTTTCTCCTTTACCTTTCATTTTCTTTCTTTCTTTAGCTATTTGTAAAGCCTCATCAGATAGCTATTTCGCTTTCTTGCTCTTCTTTCTCTTTGGGATGTTTTTGGTTGCTGCCTCCTGTACAATATTATGAACCTCTGTCCATAAGTCTTCAGACACTCTACCTACCAGATCTAATCTCTCAAATCTATTCTTCACCTCTACTTCATACTCATAAGGGATGTTATTTAGGTCATGGCTATATGGTCTGATGATTTCCCCTATTTTCTTCAATTTAAGTCTGATTTTTTTTTTTAGGCAATTGGGGTTAAGTGACTTGCCCAAGGTTACACAGCTAGTAAGGGTCAAGTGTTTGGTCTGAGGCTGGATTTGAACTCAGATCCTCCTGCTTTAGGGCTGGTGCTCTATCCACTGCACCACCTAGCTGCCCCTAAATCTGAATTTTGCAATCAGAAGCTCATGATCTGAGCCACAGACAGCTCCAGGTCTTGTTACAACTGACTGTATAGAGCTTCTTCACCTTTAGTTGCAAAATATATAATCAATATGATTCTATATTGACCATCTGGTGATGTCCATGTGTAGTTGCCTTTTGAATTGTTGAAAAAGAGTGTTTGATTATAGGATCAGTGGTTACCTTGACCATACTCTATTAGTCTCTGTCCTGCTTCAATCTGTATTCCAAGGTCAAACTTGCCTGTTATTCCAATTATCTTTCGATTTTTTTCTTTAGCATTCCAATCCCCTATGATGATCTTTTTTTTTTGGTGTTATTTCTAGATGATGATGTAGGTCTTCATAGAAATGATCAACTTTGGCCTCTTCAGCATCAGTGGTTGGAGCATAGACTTGTATTACTGTGATATTGAAAAGTTTGTCTTGGATTTGAACTGATATCATTGTCATTTTTGAGATTATACCCCAGTACTGTTTTTCTCATCCCCACCTTTTTTTTTTAACTAAGAGGGCTACTCCATTTTGTCTAAGGGATTCTTGCCCACAGTAGTACATGTAGTGATCACCTGAATTAAATACACCCAGTCCCATCCATCTAAATTCACTGACGTCCAAGGTGTTGATATTTAATCTTTCCATCTCCTATTTGGCCACATCTAGCTTACTGTGGTTCCTAGATCTTACATTCCAGGTTCCTATGCAATGTTGATCTTTACAGCATCAGACTTTCCTTTTGTCACCAGATGCATCCACAGTTGAGCTTTCTTTTAGTTTTGGCCCAGATGCTTCATTAGTACTGGAGCTACTAGTAGTTGTTCTGGGCTCTTCCTCAGTAGTGTATTGGGCACTTTCCAACCAAGGAGTTCATCTTCTGATGTTATCTCTTATCATTTTAGCTCTGTCCATGGGGTTTTCTTGGCAAAGATACTGGAGTGGTTTGCAATTTCCTTCTCCTGTGGATCACTTTTTGTGAGAACTCTCCACTATGATCTGGCCATCTTGGATAACCTTGCATGGTATAGCTCATAGAGCTGGGGGTCAGGTGGGGGGCTGAAAATCCTGAGTCTGTAATTCGGCAAGGGAAGGAAGGTTCCTATAGTAGCTAGGGCAGAACTATACATAGGAGGCAATAAATAAACATTTGTTAAATTTGGGGTGCAGACCTGAGGGAAAGAGAAATTATTTACAAGGCAGGCAAGCATTGGAACAGATAATGAGTACAAGTCTAGCTTAGGTGATGGTTCTTACTCATCTCCTATTTTAGTCTGAGTCCTAACATCTAATTCCTTAAATCTAGTCCTTTCTTAGGGTTTTGTGATCTAAAAGCTGAAGGTAATGAGGGAACAGAATGGGTTCTGGAGGCCTTGTCCCACTCTGCCCCTCTAGGGCTCTGACCTTCCTAGGGTTGGTTGGGGGGAGAGAGAACAGATAAGTACATAGAGAAAGAATGAACAGTCTAAGTATTAAAGGTGGCTGCAGGGCTGGTGAGTGCCTCTGGAGGGTGGGGTTGAGGTGATTGCCTGAAGCAAGGCAGAGGAGGAGGGTCTAAAATTCCATTCTGGGTCTCCTGACTTGGTTCTGAGCTGGGCTGGCTCTGAGCTTTAGAGATTCAGTTCTGGGGTAAATTCTGGGCACTGCAGTGACCCCAAATGGCCAGGGCTGAGCTCTGTCCTCCAAACTGGCATCTGGTCTGATTCCTGGTCTCTACTTTAGGGCAGGCTCTGGTCTTCAATTTGGGCTGTATTGTGGTTTGCACTCTGAACTTTCTGGGATGGGTTCTGGGCTTGACTCTGACCTCTGGTCTCTTCCCAGCACTGGGTTCTGGTCTTGACTCAGCTTTGGGCTCTCTGGGTTGGGTTCTGGTTTAGTTGTGTCTCCCCGGTCACTGCGCTGTGTTCTAGGTTATGAGTTCTCCGCCAGGCGCTCGGCACAGACAGAAGTGTTGGACTGGGGCGGCTGGGTCAGGATCAGCCAGTCTGGCAGAAAGCACCCCGCAGGGAGGAGCTTGGAACTCTGTTCCCCTCCTCAGTTTGGACTCACAGAGGCGTGATGAGCTTTCGGATCCCCCGCCCCTCACCAGCCCTTACACTGCTATTGGTCCTTCCGGAACCCTATGGCTGATGATTGGCTGATGCAGTTGCCAGTTCTAGTCCCGGGTTTATTAAGGAGAGCATCGTATTCTGGCGGAGGCTCCGGCGTCGGGGCCAGGAGCAGTTCAGGTAGGAGTTTGGAATTCCCGACGGGACTGGAGGGAGGGAGAGAGACACGGGAGCATCGGAAGAACCAGGGATAGGGATGTCAGGGTTGAGGGAGCAGGAGATGGGGAGCGGGAAGAGGTGGGGACCTAGGGTTGGAGGTTTGAGGTCGCATGGACTGAGGATCTGGGGCGGAGAGTTGGGGGCGGGGGCCCGAAGTGGGAGAAGACTGCGCTGGAGAAGACTGGAGTGGTGGGGGCCCACGGAGTAGATGAGGGTAGGAATGGGGTTGCAAGTTCAGCCCAACTTAGGGAGTATTTCCTAGGCAGGTCGTCTTCCCCGCAAGGTTTGAGGAGAAGGGTACGAGGGAGGCCCTTGAGAGGTGTGGGCTCTCAAAGATGTTCCAGGAAGGACTGAGTAGCAGGATAGAAAGGGTCTGCTCTATTTTTGTCACCCCCAGTAGGAGAGGGTGTGATTACCCATCCTTGTTGACTAGGCGGAGATGGGAAGAAGTGCGTGTTGGGGAGGGGGGGAGGTTGTTAAGCCTTTGTCCTAAGAGAAGGAGGGGGCTGGCTGGGTTGGGGGATGGCTTGGAAGCCTCTGACCATGTTGCTACTCCTTCCTCAGGTGGGGCTTACACCTGGAAGCCTATATTGCACAGCTTCCTACCAGGGGGTGGTACCAGACCTCCACTGCTTAAGCTAGCAGATGCTTTGATATCACCTATCTTTTCCCCGCAGCCCTGGAGACCAGGCCTAAGGGGGGGGGGTGCCCTAACCTCTCCGGAAGCTGGGGCCTGGGAAGCAGCCCCAGGGGCCCTGAGAGACAATGGGCAGCGGATGAAGCCGCCTAGCTAGGAAGGAAGAATCTGTCCCTTCCGTCCCCTCCCACTCCTAGGGATAGTGAGGGAGCTCTAGGGGGGCTTGGGACATCAATCCCTGAATGGGGTGGGGCCTCACTGAGGTCAGTTCCTACAGTCCTTCCTGCAGGAAGGGAAAAGCCAGGCTTTCTTCCTCTGATCTTCAGGTGGGCAGCCTCTAATACCTTTGGGCCCTTCATAATAGGGTCTGAGACAACTATCAAAGTCTTAGGACCACAGGGTTTAGAGCTGGAAAACAGGGGCAAAGTCTTCTAGTCTACTCATGTAATAAAAGGGGGAAAGGGAAACTCAGTAGGGAGAATATTTGCCTCAAAGTATTCAAATATGCAGATAGGAGATAGAAGTCTGTAGCTGCAGACGCCTCCCCCATTGGAAAGAATGCCAGTCTTCAAATCCTAGCTCTTTCTGTCATTTATCCTAATAAGTAATTTTGCCTCTTGAATCTCAGTTTCTTTATCTGTAAAATGGGAATAACGATACCTACTCAACTCTCTGGGTTGATGGGAGGAAAGCACTTTGTAAAACCTTGGAAGTGTGAGCTGTAAGAATTTATCCTCTCATCAGTAGTTAAGGCCTTTCTTCCTCCTTCTTCCTCCTTTCCCCTCTCCATCTTGTCACCCAGTGATAACAGTAGTTCAGGATCCCAAAATAGCTGGCAGGGCCCTCAGAGTCATGATGAGCTAATGAGGGGCTCTCAGGCAGCAGAATCCAGCTTCCTTGACAGCCGAGGGCAGGGGGTAGGCGGGTGAAGCAAGGGGGGCTGTTTATTTAAATCAGGGCTTGGATCCCACTCTAATACACACATATACACACAGGGACATGCTCTATAAAGTGATGGGGTGGGGATGTGGGTGGTGTCATAGGACACTGATAGGCTGTGGTGGTGATGGTGGTGGTGGTGGTGTGGTGGGGAAAGAGGGCTGTGTTTTTCACCCATACATCACGGAGTTCACAGAATTCTAGAATCTCAGCCCTGGGTGAGACCTCAGAGGCCTTAGTGGTCCTGTAACCTCTATTCAAGAATTCTAGTTTACTATTAGAGACAGCCAGTTCTATTGAAAGGGGCTGGCCCAGAGAGCCAGGGTCTACATCAGGCCCCTTCCTCCTCCCCTCCAAATCCCAAATAGGCTCAGCCCCTGAGCTGTAACTGCCAGAGACTGATCAGCTCCAAGTATTTTTGGTCCTGTTTCCTCTGGCCTTTGGCATCTGGCTTTGCTGAACCACAGCCATCACCACTGGGGGCAGGGGTGTGGGGAGGGGGAGGGTCACTTGCTCTGGCCAGATGAAAGAATCAGGGAGGCTAGAATGGAAGACTCCTGACTGGAGGCAAAGTGAATGGGGTCGGAGAATTAATTTGTCCAAATCAAATGACGTTTGTTATGAATCTGTTTGTTGTATCTAGGGCTCTGGACTGGGAATACAAGAACACACGTTTATATAGGTTTATAAAGCATTACACATTATAACCCCAGACCCTAATCCCAAGCTGCTTCCAACATGGCATCTAACTAGAGAGGAAAAAGTAAACAAATAATCCTGCTGCTAAGGAGGGTGAGAAGTGTAGAGGAGAGTGATGAAGGCACCTGGCTGAGAGTCATCCAAGAGGCACGTTCTTTCCTGCAGCTGGGTCAGAGAAGGCTTCAGGCAGTAGTTGGGACTTGAGTTGGCCCAGGTGAGGGTGGAGCTTACAGGGTGTTGGGGTGGATGACCCTTGGGAGACCCAGCATCAGCATCCATCTCTTGGGTCTAGGCCCCTCCTCCTTCCCCCTTGGTGCCTGCCTGTCCAGCTTCAGGGAGCTGGCATGTTTCCAGATGAGACTGGAATGTCTGAACTGTGTATCACTAGCTTGGACAGGGGAGGAGTCTTAGATCCTTGTTTTTTCTACTGGCCCCAGCATTCCTGATCTCCCCTTGGCGAGGCAGGGTGGACCGGCTCCCAAAAGACCGCCTTCTTGACCCTGTGGTTGTTTTGGCCGCTTAGAGAGCGCAGGCTGCAGTGGCAAACAGATGTTTCAGCACCCTTGGCTTTGTACTATGTGCTCAGCTGTTCCTTTTGGCCTCCTCCCTGATTCTGGGCAGTGAAGTCACTTCTCCCATTTCCAGGATGTTACACTCACACATTGTTCCAGCTGAGAGGGCAGGGAGAGGCCAGCTTCCTTCTATATAGATAGGGAAAGTGGGGCCCAGAAAAAAAAAGGAGGGACTCCGCTAAGGCCAGTGTTGCAGTCAGAACTGGAACCCCGTTCCTTGGGTCCCAGGCTGGTCCTTTCCTTCCCTCCTAGCTGGTGAGAGTACCGGACATAAGTGCCCTTGGAGGTTAGGTCTCTCGGGAACCCAGGGCTTGAATGTTCTCTGCCTACAGCCTTCCTCCCCTCTCCTCCTGCTTGCCTGGATGCCTCATAATGACTCATTTGTAGAAAATGTCCTTAGATTTTTCATCCTAGAATCATGAGATTTTAGAGCTGGGAGGGATCTTGGATGCTATCTGGCTCAGACCCCTTCCGCCATTTTACAGCTGGGGTACAGAGAAGAGAGGTGATTTACCTAAGGTTATAGAGGGTTTTTTAAGCATTTTATGGGCAATATAAATTTGACTTTCTTTCAGAAGCATGTATAAATATGGTGACCAATTATTTCTAGGTCATGCAATCATAGGGGAATGAAGGATTAGGCATTTGGATATCATGTGCCAAGCACTGTGCAAGTGCTTTACAAATATGATCTTCTCCAGTGGGGTCCTTGTAATCAAGGCAGAAGCATGATTTGAACCCAGATCCTCTGACTCCAAATCGAGTGTTTATTCATTCTGTACCACGTAATCGACAGTATAAGCATTATGGTTCCTACTTTTCAGAGGAGAAAATAGAAGCTCAAAGGGATTAAGAGGTTTGCCCCTTAGGTAAAAGGCAAGAAACTGCCAAGTCTGCAGTTGAATCTGGGTCTCCCAATTTTTAGTGCCAGGTCAGTTCTTCCTAGCTAAGCAGCTGGTGGTGGTGCAGTGAACAGAGGTGCTCAGGAAGACCTGAGTTCAAATCTTAGCCCCAGACACTTACTAGCTGTGCAACCTCGGGCAAGTCATGTAACCCTGTGCCTCAGTTTCCTCAACTATAAAATGGGGATATTAGCACCTACTTCCCAGGGTTGTTGTGAGGACTGAATGAGATATTTGTGAACAAAAAAAACAGAACCCACTTCCCCTAGTGCCTAGGATAGAGGAGGAGCTTTATAAAAATGCTCATTCCTCCACACCCTTTCCCATACTGTGCTATCTCAAACAGATCTAACATTCAAACATGGTTATAGGGACCAGTTTTCTACCTGTACCCTTCCACCCCCTTGGTTTCTGGCTCCCTAAAGGTGACATAAGGCCTTTGGGATTCCTACTAGTCTCAGCAGTAATCGTGTTAATAATAATAATAATTGGGATAAGGGGGAGGAGCTTGGTTTTGGACCTGTGATGTCACCAGCATAGGGGATTCCTGGTATGGAAAGTCCCTCTACCCATGCAAATCAACAGCTGTTCTGTAACTTTTAATCTCAGTTTCCTAAGAAACTTTCTGAGAGTTTTAATTTATGAAGAAGTTAAGTGACTTACCCACGGTCATGCAGACAGTAAATGTCAGACTTGAAACTGAGGTCTTCCTGACTATAAGGCTGACTATTAGACCGTGCTGCAACTCAAGCCTCCTTTTTTTTTTTCCAAATCTGTGATTTATTTGGCAACTGTCTACTAATACAATAATTGGCACCTGCTTTGCAACCTGTGTGCCTGGGCATTAAATGATTTGCCAAGATTCATTTAGAATAATATACTTTTTAAAATGGGTAGCCATGGTATATAGGTTTGGATGCTGCATCTGGTTGCTAAGGTTTGGATTCAGGTTCTGCTGCTTGTTAACTGTGTGACCCTGGACATTTCCTTTCCCCTTTCGGTGCCTCAGTTTCTCCACATGTAGAATGAAGGGGTTGGGCTCAGCAGATCCTAAGGTCCCCTTGAACCTCAAATCCCATGATGATAGCTCCCATTTCCACATGAGTTTGGAGAAGGCAGTGTTTTCTTTACAATAACTAACTCTGTGATAGGTCCATTCCATTTTTAGAGAAGGAAAGTGGAAGTTTCCTTCCTTTAGCTTGGAAGCTCTGGAGCTAGGAATTGAACCTGGGTCTTGTGACTCAAGTCACACGTTCTTGCTGCAATGGCCAAAGGCCCAGTGTGGGGTGTGTGTTCTGAGTTCTAACTGTGCTTACTAGAGGTATCAGATTCTAGCTGCCAGAGAGAGCTGTGCCTGGAGGTCGCCCCATCCGCTTAGAGTTCACATCCTGTTTCCTACTTACCTTTCCAGCCCTGTTATGCCTTTCTGCCCTTCATGCCTCTGTGGTCCCTCCACACTGGCCTTGTGGCTATTTCTTGAACATGATTCTCAATCTCCCCTCATCAGGCATTTGCACTTGCCTAGAGCACATCCCCTTTTTGTCTCTGACTCTTAGAATCCCTTATTTCCTTCAAAGCTTAGCTTAGGCTCCCCCGGCCTCCCCCCATCATGAGACTTTTCCTCACCCTCCCCACTGTCAGGGCCTCCCCTGGCCCCTATTAATTACTATGTATTTACTTCATTAATATTGCATATATATTCATATATGCATATGTTGTTTCCCCCAAGGAATATAAGCTTCTTGAAGGCAGGAACTATTTAATTTTTCTCTTTGTATCTCTAGCACCTGGCACACAAATGGTGCTTAATAAATGCTTGTTGATTGATTTCAAGGATCCTGCTGGGGATAATCCTCATGCCAGCTTCTTTCTCATCTTCTTCAATGCTGAGAGAGGGGATCTGGGGAAGCCCTATCAGTATAGGAATCCTTTCAAGTCTCACCCTACTCTGCCCCATCAGGAGGTAGGTGACCATGTCCTAGAGGCAGCCAGTTGAGTAGAAAAAGGAACCTGGAAATTCCACTATACTTCCTTTTGGGAGCCATAGACTTGGGACATGAACTCTCAGCTAAAATGGGAAGGAGTACCTTTGGCAGGGGTTGGGTGGGGAATGGGGTACTGCCTTTAGTCTGGCTTCTTACTGTGTTTGGTTTTAGTTTGGTTTTGTTTTGATTGTTTTTAGGCAGTTGGGGTTAAGTGACTTGCCCAGGGTCACACAGCTAGTAAGTGTCTAGTAAGTGTCAAGTGTTTGGTCTGAGGCCGAATTTGAACTCAGGTCCTCCTGACTTCAGGGCCGGTGCTCTATCCACTGTGCCACCTAACTGTCCCTGGTTTTAGTCTTTAAGGGGCTTAGTACTCCCTGGGGAAATCTTTATTTGTGATAGAATTGGAGTCACTGGAACACAGAATGTCTGAGCTGGGCGGGACCTTAGGATGTTGCAAGTCAGAGTTGGGAGGGATCTCAGAGATGATCTCATTCAGGGATTCTTAAGCCCAAGGGGCTTGAGGTTAGATTTCAAGTCTGTCAACTTGGACAAAGAAAAAAATTATATTTTTATTTCTACTCATTTCTAACTGAAATTTATCATTTCCTTCAATTATGAGCGTAGGTAACAAAACATGATTCTGAGAAGGGGTTCACAGGCTTTACCACACTGACAAAAGGGGCTATGTCACAAAGAGGTGAAGGACGTCCAAACTCGTTCAGCCCCTTCATTTTTCAGAGGAACAAAATGAAGTTTAAACAGGTTGAGTGATGTCCTCAAAATCACACAGGTAGTGAGTGATTCAGGGCAGGGATGTGAACTGTGAGATCTTTCTGACTTCAAATCCAAGGGTCTTTCCACACCCCTCCAAAGAACGCTGCCTTAGGCCAAAAGGTCCCTGGTACTGGAAGGCTGGGGAAGGGGCTCACTGAAGACCCCATAGTTCCAGGGGAGAGGGCAGATTGGGCAGGATCAGAGTTAAACATTTCGTAAACTTGCTGGCCTAGGCTAATCCCTTTTTTCCTGCTTGTCCACACAGAAAATGGCGAAGTTTGCCATGAACCAGAACCTGCCAGGTGAGAGGAATTGGGGGCAAGGAAAACTTCCTTCTCTTCCCAATGGGCTAAAGTGGCTGGGGCTGGTGAAAAGGGCAAGGAAATTCAGGCCGTCCAGGCCATTTCCCTTCTGTAGCCAGGAAGGGGAATTGGTGGGAAATGATAGTCCAGATATTCCCAGCAGGGCATCCCTTTTGCTGTCCTGGATAGGAGTGACCTCTGGGTTCTCCCTCCCTCTAGCCTTTGGCTTTGGCCCTATATTTGCTCCCCAAGTACTTGGGTCTGACCCCATGTTTCCTTTTTGGTCTCTAGCCCTGACTGTTACTAGTTCTGAACCATGTATCTCTCCCCTCCAGACCTGGGTGGCCCCTTTCTATACAGGGACCAGGACGGTGGGGCTCGAAGTCCATATTCAGTGGAGACTCCTTATGGCTTCCAGCTGGACCTGGATTTCCTGAAGTATGTGGAGGATATTGAAAGTGGGCAGGGCCTCCGTAGCAGAGCCCCATTGCCCACCCGCCGACCCCGGGGACCCAGGCCTTCTGGCCCCCGAAGTCCCCGTAGCCCAGGACCCTGGACTTCTACAGAGTCTTTAGCCAGTGAGGATGGACGGGGATCATCCCAGAGCCTGGGAGAGTCTGGGGGAGCCTTGTCCCTCGCCCCAGGACCTCCCCTTAGCCTTGGCCTCCCGCCACCACCATCACCCCGAACAGTTTTAGGGAGAAACCCCAGAGTGGAGAAGACGCTGCTGGAGACGAGTCGGCGGCTGGCACAGGAGCAGGAGCAGGTGCCCGTTGGCACCGGACTTGGCCCTGGGCTGGGCTGGAAGAGTCCACTGAGCTCTGGCCGCAGCAGCCCTGCCCCAGCTGCCAGCCCGGCCCAGCTGCAGCATGTCCGGGAGCAGATGGCGGCTGCGCTGAGGCGACTTCGAGAGCTGGAGGGCCAGGTGAGGTCGCTTCCTGCTCTGCAGCAGCAGCTGCGCACCTTACGTGATGAGAGGGCCCGTCTGATCCAGGCTGGGCACCAGCTAGGCCCCGAACCTGAGCTGGAGCTGGAGCTGGACTCCGTGGCTCGGCCTGGGAAACTGGCTGAGTTACGCCGGCTGACCGAAAGACTGGCCACATCAGAGAGGGGGACCAAGGCCCGAGCTCAGGCCCAGGGGGCTTCCTGTGAGACGGGCATGGTAGCTGTGTCTGACACCCGGGAAGTGGGCACATTAATGGCGCTTGAGACGCAGGAGGTAGGTGTGTTGGCAGCATCGGAGACCTGCGAGGCAGGCATGCTGGCAACACCCAAGACTTGTGAAGAGGGCACACTGGCAGTGCCTGACACCCATGAGGCAGCCACATGGGTGACAGAGGAGCTTTTGGGGGTGCCGGATGCAGCTGAGCGGGAGCTAGAGATGCTGAAGAACAGTCTGGAACACCAGCGTGGGGTGAGTGCCTTCCTGCAGGGGCGACTCCAGGAGCTAGAGGCTGTTCAGCTCCTGAAGGAAGAGGAGGCAGCATCGCGGTTACGACAAGAGGCTGCCACCCAGACCCCCAGCCACGCGGGGCAGGGGACCGTGGCTGACAAGGGCACGCAGGCTGAGCTGGGACCCCTGGAGCTGAACCTGGGAGAGGCTGCCCCCACTGGGCATGAGGTCCCGTGCCCAGCGCCAGCTCAGCAGGGCAGGGTCACAGCCCAAGCTGGTAGGTTTGGCTTGCCCCTCGCCTTCCACTCTGCCTAGCTGTGGGTATATCCGAGGGTGTTGCCCAGTCTAACAAGCATACTTTGTCCTTAGGTACCCTCCGATCCATCATGAAGAAACGGGATGGAGCAGCAGAGCCCAGCTCTGGCCCTAAGAGCTTGCAATTTGTGGGCGTCCTCAATGGAGAGTGAGACTCTAGAACCAATTCCCTCCTCCTGGGCTCTGGGTTTTCTCTTGGTCCCAAGTAAAGAACACTGGATTTGAAATCAGAGGCCTGGCTTCCTGGTCTAGCCCTTCCACTCACTAGTGGTGTGACCCTGGGAAAGTCACTTGCCATCTTTGGCCTTAGCTTCCTCATCTACAAAAGAGGGGGCTGGGACTAGATAATCTCAAAGGTCCCTTCAACTCTAAATCCTATGACTTTCCCTTGCTTAGATCCAACTCCTTCCCTTGTTCTGGCCTAGAGCTTCCTTTCATGATTCAAACATGGTATGGGCTTCCTTGGGCAGAAGCAGTTTCCTCCTCCCTAGAGAATGTTTGATTACTGGTCGGGAAGGTTGGGCAGGGATGATGCCAGTCCAGGAACATATCATGTGGCATGCCTGGAGATTACATTCCATTCTGAGACTTTGAGATTCTAGGCTCCTGTTTGGCACTTGGGGCCTCTCCTCTTTGTCTTCCTCCACCCACAAGCCCTTCTCCCGTCAGGTATGAGAGCTCCTCGTCCAGTGAAGTGGAAGAGGCCAGTGATGTGACAGTGATTCAGGGCCAGGGGACCCCGAGGGCTCCTCAGATGACAGCTCTGGCTGTGCCGGCCACTCCCCACCTCACTCCCCAGTGAGCAGTTCTGGTGTCCAGGAGCAGCCAGAGCCTGGACATGATGCCCCTGACAGCCGGGAGAAGTGAGTAGGGGTGAAGGGAAGAGTAAGTCAGTTTTGTTCTGTCTCTGGGAGGGTCTTCAGCCTATCCAAAGTCTTGCTCTGCCCCCTTTCCACCCCTTCAGGAGTCTCTTCCCTGTGCCTTAGGGCCCCATTGTCTTCCTTGCTTCAGGTTTGAGCTGAGTCCCCGCCTGAAGGAAGCCTGCCTGGTGCTTCAGAAGCAGTTGAGCCAACCCAGGGGCAGCTGGGACCGGGAGGGGGTGAGTGCTCGGTCCCCCAAGACTCCTTCCATCAAGGCTCTGAGGAGGTGAGTAGGGCCACGGGCAAAATCTCCCGTCATTCTCTGCTTTTTCATCTCTCTTCACAGACTGCCAGCACATCACGCCTGGTACAGCAGGAATGGTTTCGTGTGTCCAGCCAGAAGCACTCCCGCCCTGGTCCTGTGGCAGCCCTCTTGGCCACTCTGAACGCACACTCGCCAGCCTTGCTGGCCCACGTGGTCAACCTGGCTGATGGTAATGGCAACTCGGCCCTGCACTACAGTGTCTCCCATTCCAATTTTGACATTGTACGCCTGCTGCTGGATACTGGTCAGTGGAGCCTGGGGCCTGGGTTGAGGCATGGGGAGCAGGGCTGGGAGCTGGTCTGTGGGTCCGGAAAGTCCAGGTCTAGCTGGAAGTTGTAAGGGGTTTCCACTGAGTATGTACTTTGAACCTGGCCATCTTGGTTCCTGTGGGGAAAGGAGCTACCCAGGTCTGAGGGAAGAGACACATGGTTCAGGAGTCAGGGCCAGAGATGGAAGTGAGAGATATGGCTAGGTCTGGTCAGGGGGCCTGAGAGCTGGGATTTTCCATAATTGTCACCGCTTTTCCTTTGGGGGTTTCATTCTATCAACCAGTCTCCTTTGAATAGTCATTTGTGATGTGGAAGAGGCAATGCCTTTCTGCTATTTGGAAGTTCACATCCTTGGACATGGGAGATGATCTGTATAAGAGTATAGAATCCAGTGCTAGAATGGGTGTTGTGATTCAGACTCAGGGCTCCAGGAACCCAGAGGAGGGGGATCCATGAGGGTTGCTGGATTAGTCAGAGCCTGAGAGTTCCTGGATGAATCAGATTCCTACAGCCAGAAAGGAACCCTGGAGCTCTCTACTGTAATGCCATTCCCCAAACAGGAGTTCTCTTTACAATCTCCCCAAAAAGGAGCCCTCCACCTCTGCTTAAATAATTCAAATGACAGGGAGCTCACTACCCAGAAGAATTGTAGAATTCAGAAATGGAAAGGGGCATTCAATTCAATAATTCAATTCAGTCAGGACTTATTAACTGTCTACTACGCAACAGCTCTTGTTCTAGATGCTAAAGATACAAGGACAAAAATGAAACTGTCTCTGCTGTCAAAGAGTTTACAAGGCATTGGTGGGAAACAACATATACCAAGAAAATTGAATATGAAATTTATGTCAAGCTAATTTCTGGGGGTGGGCACTAGAAAATAAAAGGATGAGGACAGACTTCGTTTATGAGGTGATACGTAAACTGAGCTTTGAAGGAAGCCAGAGATTCTGAAAGCAGGAGGTGAAGGAGGGCATGGGAGACCAGCTGAGGCTGGAGATGGAGTGAGTGTTGGGGGAACTACTAGTTGACCAGTGTGACTGGATCACAGTGTGTATGAAAGAAAGAAAATAGCACATTATTATGCACAATCGGCCTGGAAAGGTGGGCAAGAGCAAGACTCGGAAAAGCTTTCTGACCAAATAGGTTTTAGATACCACCTAAGTCCAGCTGAGGCCGCTAGGTGGCGCCATGGTGCACAGAGCGCTGAACCTGAAAGTAGGGAAACTCATCTTCCTATGCAAATCTGGCCTTAGACTCTTAACTAGTTGTGTGACCTTGGGCAAGTCCCCTAACCCCGTTTGCCTCAGTATCCTTATCTCTACAATGAGCTGGAGAAGGAAATGGCAAACCACTCCAGAATCTTTGCCAAGAAAACCTTAGATAGGGTCACGATGAATTGGGCATGATGGAAAAACAACCATACAATAACTGAAAGTCCAGCCGAGCCTTACAGAAGTGAGAGCCCAAATTTGAACTGGGGTCTTCTGGCACCAAATCCAGTCCTGTCCCCCTTCTATCTCTGTGGATGGTGGGGATTTGATGCTGATTGTTTCATTGTGGGATGACTCTGTTAGGAAGTCCTTCCATCTATTAAGCCAGACTCTGGCTGTGTAACTTCCACCCTTTACCCCTGGTTCCGTCCTCTGGGGCCAGGCAGGATAAGTCTTCTTCCTCTTCCATATGAAAGTCCTTCAGAGATTGGAAGAAAGCAATGAATCTGAGGCTGTATGGTTAACCTTTACTGGTGAGGTACAGGGCATCCTCATCTAAGTCAAGTTGCCTTTATTGGGCTTCATGGACTGAAGGGGTGGACCAGGGAGTGGAACAGAATCCCATCCTATTGTTGGGGTCTAGTGAACACATCTTATTTGAGCCCCTTTGTCCAGCACTGTAGACTTACTTTATCCCCTCTTCTCTCCAGGTGGAAGAGGCCTCATTCTTTTAGTTTGTCCCTGTCTCGAACCCCCAAGGATTTATCCAGCCCTTTTTCCAACTCCCTTAGGTCCCCCCCCCTTGGGGGGCGGGGCAGACCCAGAGATGGAAGGATAGGATGTAGAGCTGAAAGAGACTATCCAAGTTGCCTAGTCCAAGGCCAGCCTCCCCAATTTACATGGATGGGGTCCCCTGACCCAGAGAGACCTGTGTCAGAAGTAGATTTACAGACTGCGTTTGTGGGGTGCCTGTTCAGTGCTTATTCTACTATATCATACTACCTCCTTCCCATAGTCAGAACCTCAGAGCTGGGAGAGACCTCAGAGGCCATCTGGTCCACCTTTCTCCAATTTCTGTATTTTATAGATGGGGAAACTGAGGCTGAGAAGAGGGGAAGGACTTAGCCACGTCAAAGAATTTAAGAATTGGAGGGGGGCTCAGTGGGCATCTAATCCAGTCTTGAATCCAAAGAAATCCCCCACTATACCAAATACACGGTAACATGTACAAGTGGTTATCTAGCCTCCAATGAAAGGAAACCCACCGCCTCTAGAGGCAGCCCATCCCCCTGCTGGACGGCTTTAGTCTTCAGGAAGTTTTCCCTGACATCAGACCTAAATTTGCTTCCTTGCGACTTCCACCCATTGTTCCTGGGCCAAACAGAAGAAACCTAATCCCTTTTCCACACCACGGCCCTTCAGACACTCGACAGCAGCCATCACAGCCTCCTGAGCCTTCCTTCCTTCCGAATAAACATACCTCGCTGCTTCAGTCGATCCTCAGCGGATGTGGACTCGAGGCCTTTCACCATCTTGATTGGCCTCCTGTAGACACTCTAGTTTTTCAATGCCCGTAGACTGTGGTGCCCAGAATGGAACCGAGGCTCCAGAGGAGGTCTGATGAGAGCAGAGGGCTGTGGGGCTATCGTGTGTCTGCTGCGAGAAGCTAGGTCCCTCAGCGCAGGCCAAGGTAGTGTCAACTCTTCTGGCCGTCGTATTACACCGCTGATTCGTACTGTGTCTGCAGCTGTCCATTGTTGTTCTGTCATTTCAGTTGTGACCACATTTGGGGTTTTCTTGGCAAAGAGGCTGGAATGCTTTGCCATTTCCTCCTCTGGCACATTTACAGATAAGGAAACTGAGGCAAATAGGGTTAAGGAACTTGCCCAGGGTCCCAACAGCTAATAAGTATGTGAAACTAGATTCTAACTCAGGTCTTCTTGACTTCAGGCCTGGTGCTCTCTCTACTGTGTCATCTAACTGCTCCTACAGTCCTCTATACCAATCTTTTTTTTTTTTTTGGCTTTTTGGTGAGGCATTTGGGGTTAAGAAGTGACTTGCCCAGGGTCACGTGGCCAGTAAGTATTCAGTGTCTGAGGCTGGATTTGAACTCAGATCCTCCTGATTTCAAGGCCAGAGCTCTATCCACTGCACCACCTAGCTGTCCTACACCAATCTTTTTTCAAAACAACCACTGTTTATCCATGCCTCTGACCTTCTGCCTCCTTGTGAAATTGATTTTTTTTGTACCTAAGGTTGAGACTTTACATTTATCCCTATGGAATTTCATCTTATTAGATTTAGCCCAATCTTTCAGCTTTTCAGAAGTCTTTTAGATCCTGACTCTGTCATCCAGGGTGTTAATTCTGCCTCTCAGTTTTGTGTCTTCTACAAACTTGATGAGCTTGCCATCTATGTCTTTATCTGGGTCTTTGATAAAAATGTTAAATAGCACAGGGCCAAGGAAAGATCCCAAGGAGGCCTCCTAAAATGTTGACATTGAAGTAAGGACTCTTTTGAGTCCAGCCATCCAACCAGTTCTGAGTCCATTGGGTTGTATTATCATCTAATCTGTGTCTTTCCATCTTTTTTATATCTTCTGTACTTTATCAAAAGGGTGGCTGAAATCGAGACAAACTATACCTACAGTATCCTCATCTGCTAGTTTAATAATCCTGCAAAAAAAGGGCGGCTAGGTGGCGCAGTGGAGACAATGCCAGGCCTTGAGTCGGGAAGATTCATTTTCCTGAGTTCAACTGTGGCCTCAGATAGCTGTGTGACCCTGGGCAAGTCACTTAACCCTGTTTGCTTCAGTTTCCTTATCTGTAAAATGAACTGGAAAAGTGGCAAACTACTCCAGTGTCTTTGCCAAGAAAACCCCAAATGGGGTCATAAAGGGTCAATAACTGAACAATAAACAACAACAAAAAAAGGAAACAAGATCAGCCTGGCCATGATGAAACCACCATGCTGGTCTTTGTAATCACTGCTTCCCTTTCTAAATGTTATGACAACCATGTCTTCAATGAGCCATTCTAGATTTTCCCCAGGAATCCAAGTCAAGCTCACTGGCCTATAGTTCGTAGATTCCATTCTCTTCTGTGATAATTGGGACAGTGTTTGCCTTTTTCTCATCTTGTTTACCTCTTCCATTTTCCATGATCTTTTCATTGTTACTGATAGTGGTTCAGCCACCACATCTGCCCCTTCTTTCAGAACCCAAGGATGCAGTTCTTCAGGGCCAGGCAATTAACTCAGCAGTTAAGTGCCCTCTCACTAGCTTCCTACTCATCCTCTATCACAGCTCGCTGTTAGTCATTTTTGTTCTGCTATTTCCAGTAAAATCCAGGCCTCCCAATTCCCAGTCCAGTGCTCCTTTGGGCATTCATTGGGTGCCACCCCTCCATCTCTGTACTGTCCCTTTCTCAATGACGAGGGCAGTGTTGAACTCCAGCCTTCGAGGCAGGATACGGTGAGGTGCCCTGCATTCTGTGCTCCTGCAGTGGCAGTCAGGGCTCAGTGTGAGTAACCTTGGGTTGCTGAAGGCAGCTGGAGATACATTTGGACAATGTGCCAAAGTGGGAAGCAATAAATAGGGAGTCAAAAGAACTGGGTTTTAGTCACAGATCAGCTGTTTAGGGTCAGAGCTTCAAACCTGGACAATCTCAAGCTCAGATGACCTCAGACACCATCTAGTCCTACCTCTTCATTTTACTAGTTGGGTGACTCGGGCCAGATTTTTCCCCTCCCTGTGACTCATTTCCCCTATCTATAAAATGGGGGAGGAGAGGGTTTGGATTCAAATGCTCTTTTAACTCTAAATCCTGTTGTCCTGTGTTTGAGTCCTTGCTCAGGCATTTACTAGCCAAGGGTAAATCACTTACTCCAATCCCCAGTTTTTTCAGCTGTAAAATGCGTGTGACAAAACATGCATTACCTATCTTTGAAGAAATCAAAGTAAACCTTAAGGCATGGTGGCAATGGGAGTTATTTACAGAATCTCTTGACATCATTCACACCTTCCTATATTTAAATCCTACGATACCTAGATCATAATGTGTAGAGGGTGCAACTGATGTACTGATCCCTGTCGTCCTTGCCTGGAGATGACCAGGCTCTCCTTAAGGTCTGCTGAGAAGAAACTTCTCTTCCTCCAAGGCTGTTATGGCTGTGAATTGTAGTCCCTAGGGAGGTGTCTACTTAACAGTTTGCCTAGTGAGACCCTAAGCCTAGTACCCCACCCAATGGTACTGAACCGGGAACTCTCCCTGGTGCTGATACAGTACCCTGCCAATAATTGTGCCTCGACTAGGTAATTGTTCCCTTACCTTTGCTCTTCCACTGACTCCTTGCTTCTCAGGAGTCACTGATTCATGCAATCAACAAAAATTGATTGTGCCTAATATTTGCAAATCATTGAGTTGGGCACCAGGGATATAAAGGTAAAAAATGACATGGTCATTGGTCTCAAGGAGCTTATATTCTGCTAGGCAGCATGGGATTTAAGGGATACAAATCTTTTGTTTTTTTATTTTATAAATCTGAGCTTAAATACCAAATAACCTGTATTTCCACATACATAGAATAATATAAAAAGAGGATTGCATAGGAAATTGCAGATCTTCTCTGTTATGTTCAGTTTACATTTCTTTTGAAATATATAATGAATTCAACCTATAGCTTTCAAAGCTGTCCTGCTTGTCTGTCCCCCCGCCACCCCGTTTTTTTCTTCCTCTTTTCTGCATAACAGCTCTAAATCTCAGAGAGCTAGTCTAGGGCCCTAATTTTACAGGTTGAGACTGAGGCTCAGAAAAAAGAAAGGCCACTGTTTCGATCTTGTCCCCTGTTTGAGGAGTTCAAATCTCCACCTGCTGATCAGTGGATCTTGCCTAGTGTGATGTGTGATGTGTGATGAAGCTTACATGCTTGTCCAGTTCCAGCCTGTGCCACATGCCCAATCTCTCACCAGCCTGTGATGGTACAAGCAAAGGCACAATGACAAGAACGAGGGGCAAAGCGATCTAATTGGACTGGGATGTAGAGAGTATATGGGAAGACCTGTGGTGTTGTGGATAGAGGGTTGGTAGATGGAGTTTGGAGAACAAGCAGCACAGACTGTGTGAATGGGAGGAATAAAGCTGGAAGGGTAAGCTGAAGCCATAATGAGGTGGCCCCTTGTCCTTGCCAGGGTGGACCCCTTTCCCACATGCACAGAGAATCCACTGTATCCCATCTTCTCTTAGCAGGTTGCTTCCTCTCCCCCTGTCTAATGGCTGTTTCTTTACTGCATACAAACATGCCCATGTCTCCCTCACCCTCCAAAGATCCTCACTTGATCCTTCCATCCCTGCTAACTATTGTCCTCAATCTCTAGTCTTTTGTGGATAAACTCCTTAAAAAGGCTGCCTACAGTAGATGCCACCTTCTTCTCACTCTGGTCTAAACTCTATGACCTAGCTTCTGACCTCATCATTCAACCAACACTGCTCTCCACAAAGTCACCAGTGAGCTAATCTTCAAATCTAAAGGCCTTTTCTCAGTCCTGCTTTTAAAGCACTCTCTCATTTGTCCCTCAGAGTAACCCTGTGAAAGTAGATGCTGCTATCATTCCTATTTTATAGCTGAGGAAATTGAAGGTAAGGTTAGATTAATTGCCCAGGGTCACTCAGCAGCATCTACCAGAGTCAAGATGCCTACACGCCCCAACCACACCCACGTGCCTCCCTGGTCAAAACCCGTGCTCAGGAAAAAATGTGAATGATGGATAAAGCAGATTTTTACTGAGTTGTCATTGCTCATGAGGCAGGATCCAAATTCAGATTTTCCTGACCTCAAGCCTGACCCTCTACCCCACAATGCTACCTAAGCTGCTTACCTCCTTATCCCCATATGAAGTATACCTCAAAATTAGAAATGTATTTGTTATCTCTTGAAAATACTAACGGGGTCAGAAATCATACCTTTATCAGATACTTATTTGATGCTCTGGATTCTGGCTGCGTGCTGGCTGAGGGTCAAGTGCAGGCTGGATGACCACTTATGTTGGGGAGGCTGAGGTGGCTCTTGGGGTAGTTTAGACTGGAAGCAGGGCCAACCAGTATTTGGCACATTGGCTAGGATGGAACTTGGTGAAGAAGCCGAGGTAGAGAGAAGGCATTTGAATTACACAAATTTGAACCCCTTGAGATATTGCTGACTAGAAAGAACTTAGTATTCCAACCCCCCCCCCCGAAAATGAGGGTCAGAATAGGTTGCGTGGTCAGTAGCAGAGCTTGGACTCACGAGCCCCACACTTCAGGTCCAGTGTTTATCTTCAAGGGCGTGTGAGAGAGGACAGGTCTGATGCAGAAGTTTGAGATCAGAGGATAAGAGCTAGGGCATCACTCCCACTTTGTCTTTTCTCCCTTGCAGGAGTATGTGATGTGGATCATCAGAATAGAGCAGGGTACACAGCCCTCATGCTGGCTGCTCTGGCCTCTGTGGATGGAGAGGATGACATGGATGTAATTAGGAGGCTGTTCAGCTTAGGAAATGTCAATGCCAAAGCCAGCCAGGTGAGCCCCCTTCCCTGCTCGTAGGGGAGCCCACGATCTCAACATCCAAGGGATCCAAATGAATCCATCCACGCTGCTTTAGGGTGTCCAGTCTTAACAGTTCTTCCTTAATCTGATTGGGTGACCATGCGTGGCCCTGGTCTGGTCCCTTCCCCGCTGAGCTGGGATAGGTGCTCCCAGCCCAGGCTCTATCCTTGGTTTCTTCAGGCAGGACAGACAGCCCTGATGCTGGCAGTGAGCCATGGTCGGCAGGATATGGTGGCTGCCCTGCTGGCCTGCGGGGCTGACGTGAACCTGCAAGATGAGGAAGGCTCCACAGCCCTGATGTGTGCCAGTGAACATGGGCGTGTGGAGATGGTAAAGCTCCTCCTGGCCCAGCCAACCTGTGACCAGGCCGTCTTGGACAATGTGAGGCTGGGGCCTGCATGGTTGGGGGAGAAATGGGATTTTGAACACCACCCTCTTCTAACTTGCCCAGAATTCCAGCTCCATTGCTCACCTCTTCTCCCTTAATTCCTGGGATCACTGTGGGGCCCATCGTATCACTCTCTCCCTCCCTGAGGCTACAATGGGTCTAGTCTACCCTCAGGAGCTGTCAGGGTTGGCCTCATCCCCTGAGTTAGCTTGTCCCAATTCCTTTTCCTTCCCACAAAGGAAGGCACTAGTGCCCTGGCCATAGCCCTGGAAGCTGGACAGGAAGAAGTCGCTGCCCTGCTGCATGCACACTTAAGTTCAGCTAAACCAGGGCCTTTGGTAAGCCACCTTTTCATGAACTCTACAAAAGAATCTTCCAGCACCCATTATCAACACCCTGTGGAGGAAGGAAGACAAGGCAGATTGTGTTAAGTGCTTTGAGACTTTTATTTGGCTGTATGGGGCAGACTGGAGTAGGAAGTCTTAAGTCAGGTGAAGTAGTAAAGAGACCATTGTAATTCTACAGGACAAAGGTGAAAAAGGCTAGGGTAATGACAATGGAAGGGGCCAATATGAAGCATTTCAAAGACATGATAGAACTGGCCACTGGCTAGATTGAGAGTGGGGGCAGCTGATAACATAACAAGTAAAAACCAACCAGCTTTTCTAGCCTTAGCCACTAGAATGGTGCTCATTAACTATTTGGGGGTTATTTGGTGAAATGAACGGCCACATTTTAGACATCCAGATGGTGTTGAACATATACTTGGAAACATGGGAACTTTAGGAAAAGTCAGCTAAAAATAGAGGTTCAAAGAGGGGAAGCTATGGGAAGGATTGAAAACAGAAAAAGCATACTAAATTAATAGAAGAATAAATCCTCTTGCATAAAGCCTCCTGAATGTGGGCAGAAAACATTTCAAATGTAACCTTTTTTGTAGGGGGAAGGGATAAGTCAGATAGAGTTTAGCTTTTTTTTTTTTTTAAAGAAGACATCTAAACATATATGCAAGTGGGGCAGTTAGGTGTGCAGTGGATAGAGCACTGGCCCTGGAGTCAGGAGGACCTGAGTTCAAATCCAGCCTTTTATTTATTTATTTAATGTGTACCCCTGGGCAAGTCACTTAACCCCAATTACCTAAAAAGAAAAAAAAAAAAACAAAACCCAAAAAAGACACATATGCAAGCAAAGGAGAAGCAGCCAGGGGAAAGACTGAAGTTAAGAGATCACATCTGGAATATGGCCCTAAAGTAGGAGAGGATGGGAGGGAAAAAGAGGTTAAGATTTCATGTTCAACACCGCTTATCCCAATAGGCACAAGGCTAGTAAATGGGCGGGTTTAGGATATATTGAGGCTGAATAAAAGATGGATGGACTCTCCAACCCCTTCAATTCATAACTATAATCCTATCTTCCAGACACCACCAGCTTCTCCTGATTCTGAAAGCAGCGATACTGATGACAAGTGTTGTGAGAGCAAGCAGGATGCTGGGCCGATGTGATTGGCCACATCACCTCCTGGTCCCATCCCAGCTAAACCTAATTTGATGCTCTTGTTCTCTTTCCACTAACCCACCTGATAGTGAATAGCCTGGACCTGTATAGGCTCCCAGTTAGTGTTCCACAAAGCACCTTATAGCGAAAAGCCTTTTTAAACTGGTGGGAGCAAGCACAACTGAATCCCAAGGTTCTCAGGGAAGGGTGAAAGTCACCCAGCGATAACTTTGCATTCCCCAGTTCCAGGCTTGTAACAAGCCAACAGATTTACATGAAGAATCTCCAAAAATTATCCCTAGCACTTTCTCATTCTGTGAACTGCTAGTTCTTATTTTCCCCAAGTGCTCCATCTAGCCACCGTGCCATTTTAAATGGTTTCTCATTCTTGGTTCCTGTCAATTAAAGCCCTCCAGCTACCACACTCAGGACCCAGAAAGGGAAAAAGATGGTTGTAGTATAAAGCACACCAGTTTGGGCTTGGGTGACTGTGTACTGGTGTCTTACTGCAAGGTCAGGCCTCATTTCTTTACACAGTCCTCTATATAAGGTCTCTCCTACTTTAGACCTTACAAGGCAGAGCAGATTAGCTCTACAGTCCCGAATAGCCAGGCCTCAGTTCTGTCCTGTTCTGAAATAGGAGGTCCCCAATCCAATCTGGGGAAACAGAAACTTTCCAATAAAATGCAATTATCTGGTTACATTTTCTGATTTCTGTTTTTGGGAGAGAAGAGGCTATATCAGGATATTTGACCTTGATACTAGGTTACAAAGGATACTTGGTTTGCATCCTACTTGGCTCTGTCCAGCATTCCATCCTCCCCTTCCTCGCTTTCAAGATACCAGGTACCTCACGGGACAAAAAGGACTTGGGTCTACCTGATTACCCCACCTTTAAAAGGTCACACTACTCAGCAGCTTAGACAAAACTCTTTATTTTACACATCCCTTAGCAGTGCTTCCACGACCAGCAGCCTAGGGGCCTCCACCTGAAAATAAAGTCAGTGTAAGGTACTAGGACTTTTCTAGTATAAGTTCCAGCTCACTGCATCTACCACTGTGATCCCAACCACCACCAGCCTTTAAATTTTACTTGTTTCAGGCCCTCTTTGGGTCTGGCCTAAAACCAAGCCTATTTTGAGAGCCCCAGGACTACCTCCCCTTGGTACTATCTGTTGGGCCTTGCCCTCCTAGCTCGAACCACCAACAGCCTTCCCCAGCTCTCCCACACTGTCTGGGGCTCTGGATAAAGTCACTTCTCTCTGGGGCTCAGTTTCCTCCACTGTAGCATGAAGGAATTGAGTTGAGGCTGCAGATTCAAGGGGCATCGTGAGGATGGTCGGACTTGACCAGTCCTGTCCCTGAAGACAATTCTGGAAATGATCAAGCTACGTCCCATGTCCCTTCCCCTCTCTGGGCCTCGGTACTCTAACTCTGTCACAAGGCGCTTTGGGGGACAGAGCGGTATGATGGACGGGGTTAGGGAGAGACCTGGCCAGGGTTGGGCTCGATCACCGAAGACCCCACCCCCCCTCCCCAGGGGCAGGGGCGGCTAGGCGGCAACTCACCGGTCGGTCTCACCGCAGCCTCCGGGCCTCCCGCTCCGACTCCAGCAGGGTGAGCACATCCCCCTCCCGCACGGGGCCCTTCACGTTGCGGATGATGGACCGACTCGTGTCGTCCATGAACTCCACGCGCACCTGGACAGGAGGCAGAGTGGCCTCAGGGGCGCCTGGCGGAGGAGGGGCGGACAGCTGGGACCGGGGCCGAGGCAGGGGACGCAGGGAGGGGAGGGGGCGCTCGGGAGGGGCGGGCGTGGACTTACCTGGGTGCACTGGCCCTGAGAACCGGTCCTGCCCAGCACCTTGGTGACCTGCGGACGGACGGACGGCGGAGAGCATGAGGCCGGGGCCACCCCCTCGATCCCTCGCTCCCTTCTCGGGCCCAGGAGCGGCTCGGGTTCCCAACTCCTCGCTGGAACCCAGGCAGCCGCCCCTTGCATCTCCCTTCCTCCGCCCCGATCCCCGGTCCCGGCCTCTGCTCCTCACCCGAGCCAGTTTGATGGGCTGCACGCGGCCGGTGTCCATGATGGCGACGGCAACAGAAGCTGGGAGAGGCGAGAGGGAGTCACGTGCCCCTGGCGCCTACTTTATAGGCTTCCTCAAGTCCCGCCTCCGGCGCTCGCGAGACCACGGCGCTCGCGGTCCCTCCCTCCCTTCCCAGCAGCCTTTGCGGCTGCAGTTGTTGCCCTTCAGCCCGGATACAACATGGCGTCGGCCACTGGCCTCATCCAGTGGCTCCGGAATGCGGCCTCCGGGGTACGGCGACGACCCTAGGGACGAGGGCACGATAGGATGACGCTGGGGACGGAGACCTGACGGACTCACACCCCCGTATTCCTCCTGTGTATCCCCTGCCCCCCCCCGCCCTTTACCTGTACCTGCACCACCTGGCCTATAACCCCGCCCCCAGCCTCGTTTCTGTCCTCTCCTGACCTGTGGCCCTCCCGCTGCAGCCCAACCTTTAACCTTGTCCCTCCTCCTGCACCCCCGTTCCTGCCGCTGTCTCTGGCCCCGCTCCTCGTCGAGCACCCCTGTTTCTGCCCTCATCCTCAGCAGCCCAATGTCTAACCCTAAGGCCTCGTCTCCCCTACCTTTGACTCCATGTCCTACACCGCTGTCCCTGTCTGCGGTCCCTGTCTGACCCCTCTGTCCATCCCTCACTCCTGACCCTGAACCTCGGCACCCTTAGGTCCTTTGTCACTGGTCCCACCTCCAACCTCATAATTATATCCCTACACCTTTGACTCTGTACTTAGGCCAAACTCTGACCTCCACTTCCTCCGTGGTACCTTACTTTACTCCTCTCCAGTGCATCCACATCCCTGTTCTAGGCTCCTGTTCTACCACTGTTCCTGCTCTCCATACCCTCCCTCCTGTACATTCCACTTCTCCCTATGCCTAGGGATACGCTTATTCCTCCCAGGGCTTTTTACCTCAGATTTACCATAGACTCCAATCCTGCTCTTCTCCCTTGCTCTTTCTTTTAGCTGTAACCTCTTTCTCCTTTTCTCTTGGATATGACCTCATCCCAATCTCTACCTTCTAACTTATGGTGTACACCTACCTCTTGGAGGTACTTCATCTCTTGCTCCAGAGTGTGCCTCTATCCTCATTACGTCCTCCTGCCCTGAGATATACCCTCGATTAAACTCGCCTGGCACATCCAAGCTATATATTCCTTTGTACTTATCCTGTGGTCCCTGCTGTTTTCTCATCGTTTTCTCTTCTTCACAGCGTAATCTCCAAGTGAAATTGCAGTTACGTTACCAGGAGATAGCTAAGAGGTGAGCAGGTTTACTACTCTCTCTTCCAATTCCTATCACTTCTTTCTTTGTCTAGCTGTGAGGTCAGCAATTTTTGTAGCTCTGTCTGTCAGGAAATTTGCCTAAGGTTTAGACAGGAGAGGAAAGGAAGAAAAGTGGGAGGGAAGAAGGGAGAACAAAAAGGAAAGGAAAATAATGATGATTCCATATTCCCCACCACCCCCCCATTACTATTTTCTGTATGCTTTTATTTTATTTTTTGTCTTATTTTATCCAGACAGCTCTGTGAGAATTTTGGAGAATAACTGACTTGTCCAAGGTTATACTGGCAGTAAGCCTGAGGGATGGGATTTGACCTCAGAGCTATTACTCTTTCTACCTTTCACTCTGCTTTTGCACCTTCCTGGTTACCTAATTGACTGAGAAATGAAGAGAATACAAGATCTTTGTCTTTTGTGTGTTGATTACAAAAAAAAAATTTGTCTTGGTAAAACAAAACACAGACTCAAATATTCTTTCAGTAAGGTGTTTCCTATTTTTATATTATTTATATAGTAATAGAAGATTCCTTCATGGATAACTTGATATTCAAAAGAAAAAATGAAAATATCAAGATGCAGTTTAATGTCTTAGTTGAAGCTCCTGGCTATAGGGTAGGAGAGGATGACTCATTATAATAAAAAAGTCTTCGTATTTTTCATGAGAGGACTTGGCTACTTCTCACTTTTATGATCTTAGGCATCATTCACTCCTTCTTAAAGTCTTCCCTTGAGCAGAAAACTGGGAAATAATTTTTACAACCAATGTCTCTGATAAAGGCCTCATTTCTAAAATATGTACAGAGCTAAGTCAAATTTATAAGAATACAAGTCATTCCCTAAGTGATAAATGGTTAAAGGATAAACTAAAGCTGTCTATAATCATATGAACAAATGTTCTAAATCACCATTGATTAGAGAAATGCAAATCAAAATGACTCTGAGCTGCCACATCACACCTATCAGATTGGCTAACATGACAAAACGGGAAAATGGTAAATGTTGGAGAAGATGTGGGAAAATTGTAACACTAATACGATGTTAGTGGAGTTGTGAAATGATCCAACCATTCTGGAGAGCAATTTGGGGCGATGCCCAAAGGGCTGTAAAATTGTATATACCCTAGTTCTGTATCCCAAAGAGATCACAAAAATGGGAAAGAGACTCACATGTACAAAAATATTCATAGCAGCTCTTTTTGTGTTGGCAAAGAACTGGAAATTGAGGGGATGCCCATCAGTTGGGGAATGGCTGAACAAGTTGGGGTATATGAATATAATGGGATACTATTGTGTTATAAGAAATGATGAACAGGCTGACTTCAGAAAAACCTGGAAAGACTTGTATGGTCTGATGCTGAGTGAAGTGAGCAGAGCCAAGAGAACATTGTACACAATAACAGCCACATTATGGAATAACTGACTTTGATAGACTTGGCTCTTCACAATAAGTAAAGAATCTAAGACAACTACAAAAGATTCATGATGGAGATTGCTATCCACACCCAGAAAAGAATTATGGAGTCTGAATACAGATGGAAGGGTACTATTTGCTCTCCTTTTCCTTTGATTTGTTTTATTGCTTCATTCTTGGGATTCCTCCCATTATTTCTAATTTTCTTTACATCATGACTAATGGGAAAATATGCTTAACTTAAATGTATGTGTAGAGCCTATATCAAATTGTATGGGGGGGAGAGGTGGGGAGGGGGAATGGGAGGGGAGAAAATTTAAAACTCAAAATCTTATGGAAGTAAATTTGAAGACTAAAAATAAATAAATTAAAAATTAAAAAAAAAATAAAGTCTTCCCTCAAGGAAGCGCCTTAGAGGTGGCAAAGTGGATAGAATGTTAGATCTGGAGCTAGGAAGACTTGAGTTCAAATCCAGCCTCATATATTAGCTTTGTGACAAGCCACTTAACTTCTGTGCATCATTTTCCTCAACTGTAAAATGAGGATGATGGCACCTACTTGACAGAGTTGTTTTAAGCACCAAATGAGATATTTGTAAAGCTCTTTGCAAATCTTAAAGCATTAAATAAGTGCCAGCTATTATTAAATCCTCAAGTCAGAAAGATGTGATTTCAAATTCTCTCAGACACTTGCTAGCTGTATGACCTAGGACAAGTCACTTCACCTCTGTCTGTTTAGTTTCCTCATCTGTCAGGTGAGAGTTCTTATGAAATCACATGATATTTGTAAAAGCCCTTTGCAAGCTTTAAATCACTATGTAAATGCTAGCTATTATTACTATTATTATTAGAGGAGACTCATTAGGGAAGTGAAGAAGCTGGGCTGGGTCGTGTCTAAGGTCCTTCCAGCTCTAAATTGTAAGCCATTTTGTAGTTAGCAGATAAAGCTATAAATGCTGTGAAGGCTTTTGTTCATTCTTTTCACATCAAGAACACTGGACTAAGAATTAGGAGTTAAGCCTTGTTACTGCAGCTGAAGTCATCTGGGCCTTAGTTTCTCTATCTAGAAAATGGGGGTAATAATTCCTGTCCAGAAGAATCAAACGAAATCCTGTACTTAGAAGCAAAATAATTCATAAAATCCTCAATGGAGAGAAAATATGGGACCCTTGCCAAAGAGCCTGATTTCCTGAGCTGGCAACGGTGCGTCGGATTTAAGGGCTGGGGTACTGTGTTCTCTTCTAAGCAACACATTTCAGGCAGAATGTTGGCAAAGTAGAGGAAATGCAGGACCAGGGACTAGAAAGCGCTACATATGAAGGGACATGGGAAGAGCTGGGCGTGTTTGACTTGGAGAAGATGTGGAGGACGAGGGCCCAGACTTCTTTGGTTTGGCTTCAGAGAGCCGAATTTGGGTTAGTGGGGAGGGAGCTACAGAGGCAGATTTGGGGCTCAGTATGAAAAGACTTCTTGGCACTTAATGCTTCCTGGGAGGACCGGAGGCCTTCTCAGGTTCCTTTCCACCTGAAATTCTGTGATTCTTTGTCTGTAAACCTTTCCAGATAGAAGAAAGCTCAACTCAGCTGGTCAGCAGCAAGAATAATGAAGAACATGATTTCGCTGTGCAGTGGGTCAGCTCCCCTTCTTTATTTTGCCCTGGATATCTGTCAGGCACTCCAAGGCACCTAGGCAGCAAGACTGAGTTCTAATTTAGCCTTACCAGCTTCATGACACTAGGCAAGTCACATGACCTCAGTTTGCCTCAGTCTTCTCATTGTAAAATAGGGATGATAATGGTACCTACCAACCAGGGTTGTGTGGAGGATGAGATAACGTACAGATGCCTTAGTATAATGCCTAGCATATAGTAGGTGCTTAATAAATGCTTATTAAAATTTAAAAAGTGTAGAGACATAGGATTGACATTGACAGATACATGTGAGAGCTGTTGCTAGCAGATTATAACTGACAATTCAAGTGTATTATTTTCTTTAGAACTCAGCCACCTCCTAAGCTGCCAGTGGGTCCTAGCCATAAGTTTTCAAACAATTACTATTGTACTCGTGATGGACGTCGACAAGCCTCTCCTCCTTCAGTCATAATGTCTACTGTGAAAGTTTTAGAGTCTGGTCTTCCTGGTAAGAGGTAAGTCTTCTCTGAGGGACGCTCAGGGTCCTCTCAGAACTAGATGACCCTGCCCAGGTTCTTCTCTACGTGGCTCATATTTACCCATTGCTTCAAGATTTGTGAAGCATTTAATCCTCACAACCCTGGGAGAAAGGTATCCTAGATGAGGACAATGAGGGTCATCAAGATGGAGGTACCCAGAGTTACCCAGGGCATTATGTCATACTACCTTCTCCTACCCCAGATTTCATGTGTATGAACCTAAATTTGCCAACTCCCTTGCTGATTTTAAAAATTTTGTAATGTAAGACAGTCTGACCTCACCAACTACTCTTTGACCTCATTCATCTTTCAGGCAGGCTGTGTTTTTTTTTCCCGTCTTTTCTCACTTTTCTTCATGCTCTTGTTTACCAGTAGCATACCTCACAAGAATCAATTAAAGAAACTGGGGTGTTTAGCTTGGACAAAAGAAGATTTAGAGGGGCCTTGATAATTGTCTTGAGATTGCAAAAGCTGTCTTGTGATAACCTGGGGCTCATTCTGCTTGGCCCTACAGGGCAAAACTGGGGACATAGGCTAGAAATTGGTGAGAGGCAGATTCAGCCTAAATGTCAAGAAGAATTTCTGAGCCATGACAGGTGTTTTAAAGTGAAATGGATTGCTTTGAGAGTCAGGCCTTTCCCTCATTACAATCTTCAGGGAGAGGTGGAGTCATTACTTTTCTGGATATCCTTGTTCTGGCAGGGGTTGGCCTAGAAGCTCTCTGAGCTCCTTTCTAATGCTGAGATTCTGGAGATACTAGTTTTTTGTTTTTTGGTGTTTTGGGTTTTTTTTTTTGCATTTCATAGAGCACCTCATAGTTTTCAAAGTCCTTTTACCCCTTGTTTGATCCTATAATAACTGATGACTTGAATCCTCACAGTGACTCTGAGGTTGGTGAGTAGGCATTATTCCCACTTTACAGGGGAGAAAGTGGGCTTAGAGTGAGATAGTAACCTAGTGATGTTCACTGGCCTCCTTGCTGTTCTGCATATAAGACTCCCATCCTGAGACTCTCCAAAGTTAGGCCAGGAAAGAGGAAGACGTGCCCGTGGTAAGTTATTGGAAGAGCCAGGGCTCCTCATTTCTATTCTACTGCTTTTTCCACTGTATTCCACCATCCCTCAAGGGAGGTTGTAGTACTGAGTCCTGGAGACCCTGTTTTTTCTTTAATCAGCTAGACTAGAATCCTTCTGTAGGTGGAAGGAAGCCTGTAATGAAAATGACCAACGTGTAACTGGGAAGAAGCACCATGGGGCTGACAAGTCATTGCCTGTTTTTCAGAACTCCTGTAATGTAATCCCACCCTACTTCAACCTTTTTCATTAACCATTTTGTAACAATCGACAACCTAGATCATATTTTAAAAATAGGGAAATTGATTCTTCTTTTTACACAGGTTGGAGTATAGCAGCTCACAGTGGTGTCAGGTCACATAATTGTTAGATACTAACTCTTCTACCATGTTCAGCTGCCTCATTTAAACCTGTTTATGAAAGTAGAAACTACACCCCACTCTCACGCTGCCCCCCAGTTTCCAAGATCTCAGAGGACAAGGACAATGTTTGTCTCATTTAGACTTTAGAGCTCTATTAGCATTGATCAGTTTTCTTCACACAGGGAGGTTATAGTACAAGTATGTTGAATTGAATTTAGTGATTGTACTTCCTGTTCTAGAAATGGAAATCTCCCAAGCTGCTTGTCTCCTTACCCAAATATGGTCGCTTGTGTGCTGTCTGTTTTTAAAATCTTTTATAAATTAGATCCTCTCTAAAACTGTCTTTTTTCTCTAGTTCAAATGAGACTATGACAACTTCTGGGAAAAAGCCAATGATACCAGGACCCCCCTTGAAAAAGTGGGAACTGTCAAAGGATGAACCATATTTGTGAAATGGACATGGGAAGATGGACTTGCAGATGCTGAGAGATTGTGTCTTTAGGGGACTGACTTGAAGTCACGAGCTCAGCCGCAGAGGCATCAAGGAGGATCACACAGTGAACATTATATCATAATATTTTATCTTGGGGTAGGGGAGAAGCATATATCCTAATACATGATAAATACACTGACCTCTGGTATTTTTTGCATTTTTATTTGATTCATTTGAATTGCTTGAATTCCAGTGTAAAGACACGGATTGTTAACTATTGTCTGGGAACTGTCATCTCTGAAATTTGTGGATCCTAGAATAGGATAGCTAGGCAGCACAGCAGATAGAGTGTGGGACTTGGAGTCAGAACACCTGAGTTGAATTCTGGCCTCAGAAACTCCTAGCTGTGTGACCCTGGGCAAGTCATTTAACATCTTCCAGCATCAGTTTCCTCATCTGTATGATGGGGATAATAATAGCACTCACCTCTAGGGTTATGATGAGGATCAAATGAGATAATAGTTGTAAATCACTTTGCAAACCTTAAAGCATGATGTCAATGTTAGCTGTCATTATGTCAGAGCTAGGGAGAAGAGAGCATCTAGTGCAAATGAGGTTATTTTACAGATGGAGATACTGAGATCTAGGCAGAGAGAAAGAGCTGCCCAAAGTCTTTCCCTCATTCGGAAGTGTCAGAAGCATAACCAAGACTAGAGCCCAGGTTTCCTGACTCCTAATCTAGAGCTCTTTTTACCACATCTCATTGCCTGCTTTTCATATGAGTCAGTGGTGGACATGTAAGAAAATCCTCCTCACCATCATCATAGGGAATGCTTCTCTGGGGCTTGCAAAATACTTTACATCTCTGTCTCTGTCTCTCTCTCTGTCTCTCTGTCTCTCTCTGTCTCTGTTTCTCTCTCTCTCCCCCTCTCCCTCCCTCCCTCCCTCTCCCTCTCCCTCCCTCCCTCCTCACCACATTCCTATTAGATGGACAATACTGAAGGTTTTTATACATCTGGAAAGAATTGGCTCACAAGGTTAGGTGACTTGTCTGAAAGCCATTGTTAGTAAGTGATAAAGCTGGCCATGGCATCCAGACTTCTTGACCCTAAATCATAGAGCTTAACAGTATTTCTGGTGCCCTCAGAACTGGGTGTGTGGGTGTGGGTGTGTTTGCAAACCAAATAGAGGTATGCTTGAATACTACATAATAGTTCTAGGCCACATTCTCATGGCATTGCCTGTGCTTGAAGCATAGCCAGTAAGGAACTGGCCCTTTGAGTCAGGAAGAGCTGGGTTCAAGTCCTACCTCTAACATATATTAGCACTATGACTCTGGGCAAATAAGTCACTTGACCTCTTTGGGCTCCAGGGAACTCTAATTGAAGAATATTGATAAATTTGAATTGGTAGAGGGAGTTCCTCTGCCAGTAACGTGACAGGTTCAGGCTAAAAAAATAAATGCTAATAGATATTTGTTGAATTGCATTGCAAGCTGGAGCATATTCAGACTATAGCTATGGGGAGGTTTGTGGGAATTCAAAAAAAATCACACAGAGAGCAGTTGAAGGTCCTGCCCTATTTAACTTTTAGGTATGTGTGAGTACTGTCTTCACATCCTGAAGAGCTGTCATAGAAAAGAGGGAGCAGATTTACTCCTTGGGCCCAGAGGGCAGAACTAGGAGTGGTGAAATAGTATGGAGTAGCGAAGTACAATTCACTATAAGGAGCTGTTCAGAATTTAGATAAGCTGTCTCATAAAGTGGAGGAAAGGTCACCATCTTTGGAGGTTGTCAAGCAGAGTCTGGGGTGGCCATTTGTGGGAGCTGTCATATGAATGTGGCTGAACTGAATAAGTTCTGGAGTATGAGGGCCCTATTTTAATGTAGAAGTTTGAAGACTCATACATGATGGTAACTGCACAGTTAGTAGCTATGCTGTTAATGTTCATTGACTATATGTATGGCAGTGTGACAGGTGGTGGGGGTACTGAGACAAAAGGAAAATAGGTGTCTTCAAGGAGCTTATCTTTCTACTAGGGGTTGGAGGAACAACCAGGTGACTTTGGGAGGGAGGGAGTACAAACAGTGGGGGTGGGGAAGGGATCTTTTGAGTTGGGCTTTGACAGAAGCTTAGGATTCCAAAAGTGGATAAGCCATCGAGTACATTCCAGGCAATGGTATCATCCTACACGCAGGTAGGGAGATGAGGTAGAATGTTTGGGGAACCACTATCAGGCCAGTTTGGTTTGGTATTCAACCTACACAAACAAAAAGCAAAAACCAGTGCCTGCCTTCATGGAGTTTGCCTCTTCCATCAGAGATGGGGAGAGAATAAGATAACCCATAGTGTATGAAGGTGGGAGGGTGTAATATGTGCCTAGCATGTAGTAGAAGCTTAATGTTTATTGATTGATGGGCTGGAAAAAGTAGTTTGAATGCCAAGATTAGGAGTTTGTATTTTATCTAAAGGCAGCTGGGAGCTCCTGAAAAGTTTTGAGTAGGAGAGAGACATGTTTAGTCCTCAGACTAAACTGAGCTCATACTGGAAGGCTTTCCAGCGTGGCTGGACTTGGCAACAGCAGCTGGGGGTGGGGGGGTGCCTTTAAGAATAATAGCTAGCACTCATATAGCCCTTTAAGGATTAAGAAATGCTTTACAAATACCTCACTTTATCCTTCAAACAACCCTGGGAGATAGGAGCTATTATGATCACGGATTTACAGTTGAGACTGAGGCAAACAGGTTAAATGACTTGCCCAGTTTCACAGATCTAGTGACTGAAGCTGCATTTGAACTCAGGTCTTCTTGATTCCAGGTCCAGCGATTTTTCCATGGGGGCCACCCAGTTTCCCAAATCCTCCACTAATGTTCTCTGATACCTCATGGCAATAATATTAGCCAGTATTTATATGACATTTTAAAGTTTGCAAAAGTCGTAACATACATTGTCTTATTTGCTATGCATAAGGCAGGAACTGTTATGCCCGTGATGGAGAAATTGAAGCTGAGATTAAGTTAGTGCCCAGGGTCATACAGCTAGTAAGTGTCAAGACAAAATTCACACTGAAGCCCAAACTTGTTACCTCAGTGGTCACGTGGAGGCAGGGTAGGGTAACACAAATAACTTTTCTTTCTGTGTGCTGTCTTTAGGAGATTTCCCCCACCCCTGACCCCAAAACCACTTTTTTTAAAGGCAATTGGGGTTATGTGACTTGCCTAGGGTCACACAGCTAGTAAGTGTCAAGTGTTTGGTCTGAGGCTGAATTTGAACTCAGGTCGTCCTGACTTCAGGGCCGGTGCTCTATGCACTGCGCCACCTCGCTGCCTCTCAAACTGCTTTTTGAGCTAGGTAGTAAAGCTGAGGCTCTGAGGGAGAATTGCCCGGGACTGATTCAAGTCTCCCCGCTCCCCATCTCGTGCTCTCGTGATGCACTGAGCTCTGGTGGAGCCTGGGTGAGCGAGGGCTGCTGCACGAGGAGGTGGCTCGAAACTTTGTTGGCCTTGGGCCCCTGCCTTTCCAGGTGAAAGGGGGACGTGCAGCCCCGCCCCGAGTCCTGCAGAGGTGGTGGTGGGTGAGGGGTGAGCCCTGCTGCTGCGAGCCAGAAACCACATGGAGTAGAGCCAGGGCTAGTACGGGAGCGCATGCGCACCACGGTAAAGGGGCGCTCAGGGAGACTTGACCGCTAGGTATCAGGCGCGGGGCGCGACAGCTGCGCACGCGCTCTTCCTCCCGCTCGTCCCGGCGGGTCGCAGATGGGGGCGCGTGCGTGTGCTGTCCGCTGGGGACGAAGAGAGGAGTAAACTCAGGTCTGCTGGTCAGTCGATCAGGCGCAGGGAAATGGCGCGTGCGCTGCTGCGGCTATTGCCGCTGCTTCTGGCGGGACTGCAGCGAGCTCTGGCCTCAGCCTGCCTTCGACCCCGGCACAGCCCCGGAGCCTAGCCCGCCGAGAAGGTGAGTCGGACCCCGTCCTTCAGCCCCTTCCTCTTTCCCCCCCCCCGTCTCATTTCTCGCTGGGGGGGGACGTTCTTTCGGCGCCTGTCGGGTCCCGCCCCCGCACCGGCCCTCGCCTGTCCCGCCGCAGCCCGCTATTGGCCCTCGCGCCCGTCAGTCAGGGTCACTCCCCCCGCGCCTTCACATGGCCGGGAAGCTTCTGCTGCTCGCGGCTCTGTGCAGACTGGGAGGAGGCCGGGGAGGTCGCGGGCCTAGGCAGCGAAGAGCCTTGTGACCATCCCCCAGCCGGCACTGAAACCCTGCTCCGATGAAAAGGGCTGGACCTAATTAACCTTATGGTCATCTGGTCCATGGCCTCTATTGTACGCTTTGGGAAACTGAGGCACAGAGAGGTGAAGGGACTCGCGGTGGGTGACTCAGCTGGTCACTGGGGAGCCTCTCCCTTCCGAAGGCTTCAGGCGCTTCCTTCCTGCCGGCCCCCAACCCCAGCAGTCATCTTTGGGCTTTGGGCTTCCCCATCCCTCGGGAGCCCCTGCTTTGGGAGAGCCCTGTTAGGTGGTTCCTCCTCATGAGAGCTCAGATCTGTCTCTTGAGCTTCCACCTGGGGCCACGCTCCAGAAGCCTGGCAGGGGGTGCCCCTGTTTGCTCGTCCTTACCCTGTCCCTTTGTTAATTGTGTGTCTTATGTCTGGCCAGCTTACTGACGTCAGCCCAGCCTTCCTCCTCACATCCCCCCTTCATCTTAACAGTTATTAAGTGCCTACGGGTGTAAGGCCCTGTTACAGGGGTCCAAGGGCAAAAATGGAACCCGACAGCCCCTGCCCTCAAGGGGCTTATATTCTGCATGTACACAGATAAGTAAATCCTAGATAGTTTGAGAATCACTGGAAGAATCTGGAAAGGCTTCTCTTGGGAGAAGGGGCAACTGACTTCAGCCTTGAAGAAAGCTGTTGCCCTAAGGATTCTAGAAAATAGAAAAGGTGAGGAGGATGGTCATTCCAGCTTAAACTGTCCCTCTTTCCTAGGAAACTCAGGCCTGTTGGAAAGAGAGGCATTCCCAAAGTTCGGCCGGCAATCACAGTACAGGCGCAGTCATTGACTGTCTCTGTGACCTTGGAGAGCTCTGTGACCTGATTTCCACTGTCCTCTGTAAGAGGAGTGGGTTTGAACTGGGTGGTCTCTGAGGGGTGCTATGCTTCTGCTGTCTAATGCTCCTAAAAGCCTCTCAGACCCGGGGAAAATTCCA